TCGTTATGAGATAAGGTGAAAGAAAAGTTATTGCACAGTGGCTGTGAACAATGAGGAGACCTTGACCTTACTAAATTAACTGCCAACACAGTCATAAAAAGGCCAAAGAGTAACCAGGTTACTAGAGATGTGTGGAGAGAAAGGGAATTATGGTATTGAAACATTCTAGGAGAAAAGAGTGAATTCTTTTCAACAGGGAAATAGGCCACTGAAGTCATCTAGTATACAGAATGTCCCCCCATCACCTTTCTATGCTAAACATATAAAATTTGCAAATTACATTTCCACCCACCAAGTATATGAAATTGTGAAAGCTCAAGAGTTTTTCCAGTGTTATCTCAGGAGAGAAAAGTGGAAGTCATCTGACTATGTCTATACATTAAGAATGGCATAGGCCTATGAAGGGAAAGTCACTTAAACACATTATTTTAATTTTGTTCAGTTTCAACACACTTCTTTGACAAGTAATTAAAAGATACGAGAGCCACATTGTTTTGAAAAAGAACATTCAATTTTCCAATATGTGGTTTTATTTATCTTCGTAAGCAATAAGGGTGCCCTGTTCCTTTTGATATTTAAACTTAGTCAGTGAAGTAAAGCAGTATTTTCCAAAGTATAGTCACTGGTCAAATAATGTGGGAATATAAAGCAGAAGCTATTCTGAATTCTTGTATGTATTCAAAATGTACATTAGAATAGTGAAGATTCTGAGAAAGACTATAATTTGAAAACTTTATTAACCCTGTTTGCTGTGGAGACTTTATTATTTTGCAGTTTATGAATTTTTATTTGGTAATAATACTTATTAACATTAACATCTCTATGAAACTTTGAAAAAACATGGCAACAATCCCAGTATTTTTGTTTTTACATTTATCAAATTGCTTTCTTATTTTTATTGTAATTTCTGATTTACTATATATCTTTGTGGAGTACAATATGATTTTTAAAAGCTTGTATACTTGGAACCAGCAGATGGCGTAATGGCTATGTTGCTGGACTCCCATGTAGTCAACTGCAGTTCAAGTCCCAAACCCGGTAGCTTAAACTCATGCTGGGCACGTGTGTGTGCGTGCCCAAGATCCTGAGAGCAGAATGGAGAAGAAAGGGATTGCGATGTGGCCATCCCCCCTAGGGGGTGATGTCTCACTTTCTGTCTCTCTGTCTCTCTCTGTCTTTCTGGCAAGTGCTCGCACCCTATAGCAAAAACCAAAAAAAAAAAAAAAAAAAAAAAGCCTGTATAGTTGATATTCGTTGGCAGACACTATGATATATTTTGAACCTTTAAACATGACTAATCTTTATTGCAGGTCAAATTATGAAATACTCTGGTATTAACTAAAATGAAACAATCAGATAGCATTGAAATTTATAGTATAGGAGAAAAAATGTGACTTAAAAGCTCCAAAATGGGCAATATGTGTGAGGGGAAGAGTATAAAGAGTAGGGGTAAAAAGGACAGAAGTCAATGTTAAGGGTAACCAGACTCAATATAGAGTACAGTGTACATACATGTAATTTATGCACATTCTAGTTATACATAAAGAGAGAAAATTGCTGGATTTCCATCATCCCTATTCACTTTTTTTTTCCTTTTTCTTTTTTTTTGGAGAAGTTTTTGTTTTTTTGTTTTTTGGTTTTTGGTTTTGGGGTTTTTTTTTTTTTTTTTTGCTTTAGGACGTGTGCGCTCGCCAGAAAAACAGAGAGAGATAGAGAGACAGAAAGCGAGAAATCTCCCCCCAGTGGGGACGGCCATGCCGCAATCCTTTCTCCTCCATTCTCCTGTCGGGATCTTGGACACACATGCACACGCGCCTGGCGTGAGTTTAAGCCTCTGGGTCCAGAACTCGAATTGCGGTCGACTACATGGGAGTCCAGCGACATAGCCATTACGCTAACTGCTGATCCCATCTCTATTCACTCTTGTCTTCAACTTCAACTAGAACCCAGTTTAGAAAAAAGGAAGTCAGTGTAGCAATCACAGAAAAACTAAACAAAAGAATTCTAAGCCGTTAGTGGGCACTCTATCCTGAATTCCAGGAGAAACCCTTCAGGAATTGTACCATAAACAACTTGTGATCCTTAAAGAAAGGTCCTGATAAATCAGCCTTAACATGGTGGTTAAGGCAGTTGGATCCACATGGCCCATTGTGCTGTACTGCATGGTTCAAGTCTCAGAGCAGGTGGATTCAGAAACATGCTAGGGGCCAGCAGGTGGTGTGGTGGTTAAGGCACTGTACTCCCACATAACTGACTGTGGTTCAAGTCCCAGACCCAGCAGCTTGAAACTCACTGGGCACATGTGCATACAATGCATGCCCAAAATCACTAAAGGAGGGAGAGATTGAGGAAAAGGATTAAGGCCCAACCATCTCTCATGAGAGGTGCTTTCTGATTCTCCCTTTCTTTCTCTCTCTCTCTGGCAAGTGCATACAGCCACTAGAAAGTGAATGAGAGGGGGGGGGGTGTCTTGGTAATTTAAGGATAATTTAAAGAGTTGTTAAGGGTAATTTTGAATGTTAGAGATTTTCGATTTTCACCATAAGCATTAATCTTAGGAACCTAACCCTGACTGCCATATATTTTTAGCAGAGCAATACTAGGGATACATAACAAGTATTTACCCTTTTCCTTCCTAGTGGGGGGATTCTTATTTCAGATGGTATAATTACATGTTCACACATTTTCAGTTTCTATTTAAAGATGAAATAGTTCAAATAAGAATGGTAAAAACATTATGATGAAATATTCCAAATATGAATGTTGACGGCTATGGCTCTAGTTAAGTCTCCATGGATTACTTCCTTCTTTAATCTTATGAAAACTTGAAAACAGAGTAAATGGTGCCTAGCCACAGGGGCGCAGAGGTAGTGCAGTGCTATGCAATGCAGGAAGCTCTATGGAATATTGGAGTGTGGTTCCCAGGTAGACCTGTACATGCCACGTGTGTGCTTGTGGGCCTGTGATCCTGGGCCACCTAGGAAGGCTGGAGGGAGGATCATGGTGTGAGACCCTGTCTTTCTCTTTAGCTCTGTCTCTCTGTTTCTCTCTCAATACATAAACTTAGAAAAAGAGAAAGTAAATAAAAATTGGATTAATCTTCAATATTCTGATAAAAATATTTTAGTGATTCATTTCTAATAAGGTTTTAATGTTTTAAGAAATACGGCTTTGATTCAAACATTAAATAGTTAAAACAGAAGGTTATTACTGCGTTACTAGTTAATATAAACTCTGGATCTAAGAATTTGTAAATGATTCATTTATTATCCTATTGGGCTAATACATCTATTTCTATGAAAACACTATAACTAAAAAAAATTGTTTAACATCAATTTTCATTTATTTCTGTAAGAAGAGTAATACAGTTTATTGCCAGAGTGGCTTAAATACACAATTCTGAGTTATTTTTACTGAGATTTTTAAGGTTAATTTCATATATTTTTTTCTAACTTTAGGTAATACGCACACACACATACATACACACACCAGTGGGGATTTCAAAAAGTATAACAAAGTAGAGTTAGAGTTTGGAGATGGACAGTAGAGCAATAGTAAGATGTAATCCTGTTGGGACCAACAGATAGCATAATGGTTACATTGCTGGACTCCCACGTAGTCAACCACAGTCCTGGACCAGTGGCTTAAAACACACTGAATGCGTGTGTGTGTGTTCCCCAGATCCCGAGAGAAGAATAGAGGAGAAGGGATTGCGGAAGGGCCATCCTCCCTGGGGGGTGATTTTTTGCTTTCTGTCTCTCTGTCTCTATCTCTCCACCATGTGTCCTATAGCAAAAATTTCTCTAAAAAATTAAAAAAGAAAAAAAACCTGTAATCCTCCGTAAGGTAATCTCACTAGGAAATGTTTCTGTTTCAATTCTGGAGACCCCCGTGAGTACCTTGGGTACACATTTACCTATGATCTTGGGCTAGCTGAGGCTGAGGATAGATCACAACATCAAAACACTGTTGGAAGTGCTATTTCTTTCTCTCTCTCCCCCCCCCCCCCCGCATTACGTATTACTTACTCACCAATACTTTTTAAGAAGTATATTTTGATACAAAAAAATTGAAATCCATGCAGTTTCCTCATACCTTGAATTTTCCATGATTTTTGAAGACTTCATACATACACTCACACACACACACACACACACACACACACACTATTTCATATATATAGCACATGTGAATGTGTAGGTATACACACATATACACTTTAACCTTTCTAAAATAATCATTTATATTATTTTATTTAAAAATATCTACAATTGGCATGGCACTTATATCAGATCTTAGAAACAAAATGATTGCTATATCTCTGCCTTTCAAATTGATCAGTGCTAGATTCCTTTTTCTTATTAACGCAAACTTACATTGATTTTACTTAGTTCTGTACTTTATTAATGGGCTACATCATTTGTTGCTTGGAAGTATGCAAATCTTACTGTTACGACACTCTAATGACAGAAGACTGATTTTTAATAAATAATAAATTCTCATTGAATGTTTGAGGATAATTAAATGAAAGCTGGATCAATTAATTCACCATAAAAAGAGCTATTGCACCAAATTCAGAAAAGGCAAAACGACATGGATTCATTGGCATGTTAGAGAGGCTAAGAGTGAACAGCCTGTAGCTAGTTATTCTCCTTGTTGTGATTGAAGGTGAGGTATTCCTCAAGTTTCAAAACCCCATCTTAAGAAAGAGAAAAATGTACAAAGAAGATAGAAATATGTGAGTTTCTCAAGATCTGTCAAGTGTAAGACCAATAACAACAAAAGCACAAAAGATAAACTAATAATAGTTTCACCATATAAAAATGATCTATTGATAAATATAACTTTTTTTAAGTAACTGATTTGGATAAGATGGGTGACCTGATTTTTAATTAGAGGATAAAAACATGATATGGAAGAATATTATAAAGGGAGAATTAAAATGTGGTAATTCTTGCTTCATCTAGCATTTAAATGATCTACATGTTTTTACCTTATAGAATGCCAGAGTCACCTGGCGAAGTTTCCGAATATCCTCTATTTGTCACAGTCGGTGACTGGCTGGATTCTATAAAAATGGGGCAATATAAGAATAACTTCATGGCAGCAGGGTTTACGACTTTTGACCTGATTTCAAGAATGAATATTGAGTAAGTGATACAAGTGTTTGCTCTAATTAGATGTTCTGTTCGGGGCTTTATAAACTCAAATGCTATATCAATAATACCTTAATTTAGGTTAGCATACCATTTACCAGTCTTTCCTTACCATTTCTGACTACCATTCCTGTAGAAGCTAAACATCACACTATTAACTGTTAGAGACCAGCAGACGGCATAGCAGTTACATCACTGACCACAGTTCAAGTCCCAGACCCAGTGGCTTGAAAATTATGCCAGGCATGTGTGCATGTGTACCCAAGATCTGAGGAGAAGAGATTGAAGCATGGCCAACACCCCTGGAGGGGTAATTTCTCATATCCCCTCTCACTGTGTCTGTCTCTGTCTCTCCAGCAAGCACATACACCCTAAGGCAAAAACCTCTCCAAAAAAATACATATATATATATATCAAATAGCTATTTAAAATGTTTTAAATGCTTTCTAAAATACATGTTGTTCACATCATAGACTTCATACCAACAAAGTTTTACCTTGCCAAATTATTTATTACTCATATACACTAATATTGCATAATCAATTTCTATTACCTTCATCAAATGAGTATGTATTATCTTGTCATTTTGGAGGTCCTTCTGTATGTTATAATAGTCAGCCATCTTCCATTGCCTCAAAGATCATCCTTTGTTTAGGAGCAATAAAAATGCTCAATGTGCTTAAAACACTAGATATTAAAATGATTAGGTTAAGCCATATGATATTGTCTTTGTTTTAAGATGTAATGGCAATTTCATATAGTTGAATATAATGTCTTTTTTGAGATTACTGAAAGGAGAACTGAAATGGAGTCCACATTATACCTTTTATTATACATATTCACCATTTACTAATACTGTTGCAAATTATGTAATTACCTAAATTATATACTTTTTAGACCCATAAAATGTTTGAATATTACATAGTACCTGGGTATAAAATTCTTCCTTGTATTATTTGAGATTAACTTGATCTATTCTATGGAGCTAGAGAGAAGAAAAGAGTAACAAATTCTTGATGTCATTTATATCTGTGCTTAACAATTAAGCTGCATGATTTTTGGCAAATGTGGCATGGAGCATATTTAACATTATCTAAACATTCATTTTTTTTGTACTCACCAGATCTACATATTCATTCATGTTTCTCTCTCTCTTTCTCAGTGACATTAGAAGAATTGGGGTCATCCTCATTGGACACCAGAGACGAATAGTCAGCAGCATACAGACTTTACGTTTACACATGATGCATATACAAGAGAAAGGATTTCACGTATGAAAGTACGATAACACCTGTGCTTTGTGCCTCAGCATTTCTAAAATGAAAAACATCTTCTCTATCACCCTCTTCTGACTCTCAAAACGTCGCTTCACAAATCGCAGGCTCCTTTTCAGACTATGGGCACACACCTCATGTTCATGCTTCCAACCTGGATTGTAAAATCATGCTGCATAGATCCTCTCTGAGTAACCTGCACATAAAACCCTCGCCCACTGCAGATTATCGCTACACAGTGGTAAATAACTCAGCATGGATGTGTAACTTTGTATGGCTGTATTTGGGAAGTTTTCACGGATTAACCTAAAGAAATTTGTCCAGACGTGGTTTCCTCAATGATGTACTTAGAGTTTGATGGAAGATGAGAAATAGTTGACCTTTCATGTTTTGTGACCAAGTAGCTCCCATATTGACATAAATATTTATTTTTAGATCATTATAATCAACTCTATGGGTTGTATTGTTACTTTATTTTTAATAGTTTCACTTTTGGCACCTGATGTTAGCATTATTTGCAGAAATGACTGATGATTCCATGTAGTGAACTCGTGTCAGGCAAGACTATGGTGAGAAAGGGGTTATCGAGTAGGGAGAGGGAGAAAAATACTGTGCTTTTAAATCCTCTAAGCTTTGATTTTTTTTTTAAATTAACTTTATAGTATCATATTCCATAGTAGGTGGTAGTTTAGAGGTTCTTCCCCTCTAATTTTTTAATTAATAGTTGTATATTTTTCTACTACCTTATGAAGATCGCTCCTGGAAAGACCAACAGTGAGCTCACTGCTCTAATGGTTTTCATAGACTGGAGAATAGAAAAAGCCTATGACTGCTCCCCTGGTTCATCTTCACATATTTACAAACGTAATGATCAAAGCACTGAGAAAATTAGTTGTCCTCAGTAGGACTGCTTTGAATAAAAGAATTAAGAATATAGCCTTAGATTTCATATAAAATGATTCATTTAAACCAAATTTTATAATAGCTATATGCTGACCCAAGAAAATAAACACATTTAGCTTACTGTCCTATATTGGTAAATTTTGCAAGTTTAAGAATTCTTTTTTTAAAAAAAATATAAGTTACAAGGACATGCTGAGCTGTTTTCCAAACCTTCTAAAAAATAAGTATGACTATTCCAAAGAGAGTATAAACATCTTACACACTAGCAAATATTGTGTTATCAATCTGGATCCATAATATAATTACATAAAAATATAAACACAGATAATGTGTGTTGTAGTCATAATGTTCTCAGAGGCTGCAAAAAAAGAAAAAAAAGGCATATATGTTTCAATGAATTGAGCTGAATCAACTTATTGAAATAGTGCTACTTGGTAAACAAATTCAATTGTAAAATCAGCAGCTCCCTGTGAAACTGGAAAAAAAAAAAAGAAAAACAAAATGACTGCTACGCTAGGAGGAAAACTAAGGAGACCGTTAAAAGAAGGAAAAAAAACAGCAGGTTGTCTAAAGATGCTGATATAATAAATCCATTTTTCTTTGATCTCAGAGATAAAGGTGCCCTACCCACATCTCAAATTTCTACCCAAATTACATTTTTTGATGTTCTTTCAACTAAAGGATCCTCACTTGAGCTTTTCCCCTTACTTTTAGATTTTGTTGATTGTCTCATTACACTAAGCCTTTCAACATATTTTCTTTTTGCTTTTGCCTAACATAGCTTAATTTTTCTCATTAAAAAAAAATAGAGCTAGAAAGAAGAATCTTTAGAGTATTCCTGAAAGTATACTAAAAAAGGAAAAAGTGGAAAATCCATCACTTTTTAAGTAAGTGTGTCAGAAATAGCTAGCAATATTTTCCAGCTATCGGCCTGCATGGTCATGCATCACTCATAGACTATCTGCAGTTTGCTTGATACATTTACACAGACCTGGACACATTCAGAGAAAATATAAAGTTTTCATATTTACCTGTCTTCAGATATATATTAAATAAGAACTGATGTAAAGCAGATTAAATTTATTAACCATATATATTTATTTTTATAATACAACAGAAAAGGTATTTAGAAAAATAAGGAATAGAAAAATACAGTTGTGCATAAGACTGACAGCAACATCTGTGTACTTTGATAAAATAAATTCTATTAAAGAATTAAAACTTCTGTGGGATGGACATTCAATGCCTGCAAGATTAAACTCACTGTTTAGAATATTTTTCCTTCAAAAAGTCTGATGATCCTATTCTATATCTGGTTATTTTGTACTTATTTTTCTTCCCTAACATTTTTTTATAGTATTATGAAACTACCTTTTCACTGCCTCTCACCCCATATCCTCTATAAAATTTCTTTTAAGTTACATTTCTATCTTCCAGAACTGTAAGCATGATAGTATTTAGAGTAATTTCAAACTTCATCATGGTCAGAATAGGTTGAAATATGTGTGCAAGATTAAAAAAGAAACATTAAAGTATAAGGATACCTATTTATTGACTGTCTACTGATTACGGAGCCCATGATCCTAAGGGTATTATAATATCCAGGAGTATTACTAGTTAAGATAGCATATTCATTTGAAAATTTTGCATGACACAGTTTGAGATTTACTGGTGTAACTATTCAGTAATCAAAACTGTTTAAAATGCATAAGGATAAAGGTTAATTATAGGAAGAAAACAGTAACTTCTATAAATTACAAGTCTTCAGGAATAGACTCTGATAACTGAAATATGCACATACACTTATGTACCTGTTTTATTTTTTTTTTCAAATTTTATTAGAGGGCATGTGTACTCACCAGAGACAGAAAAGGAAAGTGAGAAAGTACCCCACCGTGGGGAATGGTCACCCTATAATCCCCTTTCCTCCATTTCTCCCTCCTTTTGGGATTTTAGGCACACAAACACAAAAACCTGTCATGATTCTCAGGCTGCGGGGTCTGAGACTCAACCCTGCGGTCAGCCATGTGGGACTCAACCACCTTAACCACCACACTACAGCCTGGCCCTATTTTAAATTTCTTGGGCTTTACTACTGAGGATTTATAAAGTTTTTGTTTTTGTTTCTGTTTTTTTTTTAAATCAAACAACTGAAGAAACGATCTTCCTTTCATTTTCTGGATAGTCAATTTCCAGTATGTAGTCAATTCATCTCATGATATACAGCTACAGCATATTTGGGGAAAAAAATATAAATATACAATTACAAGGAAAGAGTTATTTAAATCATTAAACTAAAAATGCAATCAGAAATTGTGAAACTGTTGTCTTAATAAGAATCAAGAATTACAACATTTTTGCATTGACGTATAGTATTGGTAAATATGTTGAGCATGCCATACTTTCATTCTGCATTACTCTGTAAAAATCTCTCCAACAACAACCTGAATAAAACAGCCTTCCAGCTATAGTTTTAAAACCTGTCTTAATCAATGAATGAAAAACAAATCCAAATCCAATGCTTGGAAAGGATTTACAGGAAGTCTTCAGAAGAGAAGGTAAAGAATGGATTATGTATCACCTAACTACATTTCCTAAAAATCTTTTGATACCTCTATCAAATTTCTGCACTGAAAGATAATGGGTTAAATCTTGGATCTCAGAATTTTCACCATGACTAGAGTTTTTTCCTTTTCCTTTATTAAATTGTCTAAAACTTTCTTAAAACCTCTTCTCTCTTTAATTCCTCCATCCTTTTTTTTTCTTTCTCAGTTTCTATCACTCCACTCTATTCCTATAAGCATAAGAGGTGGAATAGCAAATCTAAAAATATCTTAGAAGAGACCGAGAGAATAGGGGAGTTGCAAAACTTAAACTTTAATATTTTGAGTCCTACCACACAAATGGAAACATTTGCACTCGCTGAGGGTAGGGGGTCTGACTTTTGTTAACTGAAAATTAAGTGCTTTGAAAAGTAATATTGAAATGGATGATAATTAGCCTTTTCTATAGCATTAACTAGGGAAATTTATTATTGTTTTAAAATAAATTAAGTGTAGTATAAATTATAAGCTATTACTATAAACTCACAGTTGTTGCCCATGCCTTTATATATATAGCAAAGTGATTAGAAACAGATGTATCACTTCTTTTAATAAAATCACCTAACTTTTCCAAGCTCGATTCCCAGAAAGTAAAAGAGATTCATATTATTCTACATTCACAGATTATTACTTTGTTTATAGAAAGACTTCAAAGGTAAGAGGAGTACACTGGGTGAAATTAGTAATATTCTTCTATTAGGACACAAAGTACTAAAATCACTTAACTTTCAGTTTTTATAATCAACATTTTCAACAATTTTCAATCTTTATAATGTTCTGCAAAAGGAGTATGAGCCTTATTTAGTTCAGTTTAAGAAATGTCTAGAGTGAATTGTGTACACATAAAATTTTTCCACAAAGATGTGTTTAACTATACTGTCCTTGTCTTTAAGCGACAGTCAGGCTTAAAATTTAGATATTAGCATGTGCTTGCTATGGTTGCCATGTCACTAGAGGTGCTCTCTTTCCACAGAACATTTTCATTAAGAAAAATATTATTTTTATGTTAAAAATTGAATAGGAATTTGACCAGTGTGAATTGGATTTGCAGTCTCCTACAGAAAGAAATAATTTGGACTTTAAATTTTTGTAGACTTGTTAAGCTCCAAACTCCCTCTGACAGAAGTACTCATGCTGCTGGATCTACTACGTAACTCTCTTTGTTAACAGTTGATTCTCATCAGGAGTTAAAGGATTTTGTTATCCAGTTGTGAACATTTTGGTTTATGTATAGACTCAAAACCTCAAAAACGCCTCCAATCATAAAATATCAGGGATTTTTGGTTTGTTTTCCAAAAGCATTTCTGGAATAATCTCTTGCCCAAGCTAATTTACTGGTACTAGTAAAGGTAATAAATCTGAATTGCAGTGATTGAACAGATTCTTTAAGATGCAAATAAGATTAAATAATTCTTACAACTCATCTAAGAAGGAAATGAGATGATTACTTGTGACTAGATCTAACATATTACTTAGTGAATAAAAGAAAAATCTTATATTACATAAAAGTAAATACCTCATCATTTTATTACCCCTTAAAAAGCCAAATATTAGGCAAGTGTTTCAAAGATTTGTTATAAGAGCCTGTGACACAATATGCATGCCTTCAGATAAAAACAAACAAACAAACAAAAAGATTTAGGAGATACAAATCATCAAAATGTAGTTTTAACTAATCTTTTCTAACAATTAGATTCAAATTAATGATAAATATATAGATAAAATACATAAAATAATATTTATGTCTTAATTGTAAGGCTTGAGTTCTTGATCTTAATTCAGAAGTTTTTTTTTTTCTTTGTTTTTTTTGGAGAGGTTTTCGCTATAGGGCGCGTGCGCTCGCCAGACAGACAGAGAGAGACATAGAGACTTAATTCAGAAGTATTTTTGTTGTTGTTGTTGTTGGTTGATATTTCCTCTTTTGAGATTTTAGGATATATTTTAATATAGCTTACTAGTATTGACTCAAAATTACTACTTAAAAACAAAGAAATTAAAAGAAAACTTCTATTGTGAAATAAAGTAAACCACTAGATACTCTTCCCCTTTTAAAAAATAACCTAATAACTCAAAATTTGGTGCATGTCTGAGGCCAGCAGATGGCATGGTGGTTAAGAGTGCTGACTCCCACATGGTCGACCTTGCTTTCTCATGTTTTCTCTTTCTCTCGCTCTGTCCCTCTATGGTCAAATTAAGGTAAAAAAATAAAGTAAATAAAATAATTCTTTAAAAAAATTTGTGCATCTCAATAACATTAAGTCAGTTCTACTTTATTACATTTTTACTTTCCTCTCGAAAGAGGTTTTCTTCTAAATAACACAAAGGAATGTTCTTTCTTGAATTTCCAGAGTATCAAATTTCTTATCACTAAGAGAAATTTTTATTTTATTATTTAAAGAGAACACCTCAAATGAAAATACTAGACACCAGTAATTCATTCTTTTTTAAAATTTTAATTTATTTCATATATTTAATCAGTATACATCACTTA